CTATCTATCTATCTATGAGAAAAACTAAAATTGGAAAGAGAGAAGGACAGAGTCAGAGAAAGATGGAGACACTGAGAGAGAGACAGAAGACTCAGAGAGGCCAGTGGGTTTGACGGCTGGAGATGGCTGTGATTTCTCTCAGGTTCCCAAGGGGCCCAAGGAAAAGACGGCTTTGTGTTCTGACAACACCGTGCTGTCAGGAGTTCTGTGTGTGTGTGTGTGTGTGTGTGTGTCTTTTCTGCTCCAATGCGCACTGGCACTGGTGTTTAAGCACCAACACTAGTCTGCACTACACCTTCAGGTGAGAGACTCAAGCGTGGAGGAGAAAGAAACAAGAGGAGGAGGAGGAGGAGGAGGAGGAAGTTTATTCAAGACTTTCAGGTTGAAGCATGAGAGCAGTTTCTTATACAATGTTGTCAGGTAACCAGTGTCAGTATAGGGGCTGTCTGTATCAGACAACATTGATTTTATGAGTGGTGGGCACAAGCTAAAAATATAGCCTCTATGGTCTCCATGCACTTCTACACCAAAGCTTGATTAAATCAAGTAGTGTGATGGAAAAAGGGACAAAAAAGCAAGAGATCTTATGGACAGAGAAAGTTACAGAAAAGGGAATGTATGAATATATTTTTACAAAACTGGTCAATCTCTGATTGAAATGGTTGATACTGAAATGAGAAACAGAAAGTAAACTATTTGTTTTTATGAGGATGTGATCAAAGATTTTTGCATGTTCTGTTATAAAACATGGTCTCTATTAATTGAGTGGACACAAAACACAATCAATTCCACTCATATATTTTAAAACTTGTTTAAGTCCTTGAATTCAAGCTAAATAAATGTATATGTAATATGTATTATTGAAATTGTGTTAATGGATAAGAAAAGTGAGAAAAGAAAGAGATGAATAAAGAAAAATCAGCTTTGATATCAGAACAGCCACCCTACAGTGCTCACTGGCACGGAACTCCCATCCTATCCAGTGGGTTAGAGAGGGTGGAGTAGAGAGGTGTGTGACGGCAATCAATCTGGTTTTATTGAGTAGAGATGACAGGGACACACACACACACACACACACACACATATATAGAGCACCTTACTTCCAACGTGGAAATGTAAAATAAGGAGAAAATCCAAGTTTCTGAAGAAGATATTTGGAAGACTGTGAATAAACTAGACCTTCTTATTGACAATTCTACACTGGAGTCATCTATAATATGCTACAATATACTGTATGTGTAATTGCAGAGGAAATATATCCAGAAAACTGACCAAAAAAATAGGAATCACTCATATACTTTATCATATGCTTACTTACCACTGAACTGTACAGTAAAAGAGCCATAAACTAGCAAAGGGATATAGTAGCACAAAGCCCAACAGTGCCAAAGTTAGAGAAAAATGTCCGTAGGACAGGAAGGACACACCTCTGACTCTGACAACTCACACATTGAACTTAACAGAAAGCTCTAGATAGGGAATTGCTCCAATAAATGGCCGTGTATTTACTGCTACATATATGGATGTAACAGTTTTTTATGAGGCGAAGGTTGGGATCTGGAGGAAAGGTTGTGCTTGTCTTTCATGGTCCACAGTGGATAGAAGGAAAAGAAGTACAGTGAGGGAGAGGAAGAGAAAAAGATGGAAAGAGAGAGGGAGGTATGTTTGTGGTTGGTAACCCGCTCAAGAGAGGAAATACCAGCGTGTGCACACACATACACACGTATACACA